GCCCAGGTGAATAATATTGACTTGTGTTAGTTTGTACTTAAACTTACTTACAATAAGTGATCATAATATGACAGTGATATCTTCTATGTTCATGCATTGCAAATACTTAATTATTTTTTGTTAGTTCTTTAAGGTTATATAACCATATGTTTGTCACCAGGTAACAAGTGATCATTTGGAAAAATGTATCCCAGCCTTTGAAAAAACTCAAAGGGAGAGGACAGTGAAGGCCATGAGCCAAAGCCAAGACGTGGTGGAGTGCTGCGCAGGTATGTTCTCTAACAGCAACACTCTATTAAACATGTCTTTATTGACTACAGTTTAAGTTCATCCTATCATAAGGCTAAAAAAGTATCTTAGTAACAAAAACAAAGCAAAAAGCATTAATGTTAACAACGCCTCAAAGGGCGGACTCCTGAGTTCCATGGCACTTGGACTATTTACATCATCCAGGGCTCAACACCAGTAAATACAAACCTCTCTTTATCCGCTCTCCAAGCCTCCAAGGGCGGACTCCTGAGGTCCGTAATGCCCCCCTAACATGACACTTAGACTATTTACATCATCTAGGGAAGCACACCAGTAAAATGTAGCCTCATGTAACTTCATATAGGGATTCTTTAATAGTTGTTGTGAAGTAATTAAACATAAGGGGGTATTAAGATCTTTAAATTATAATTTTCCTCTCAAAGAGACTTCGTTGCACACACAACACACACACAAAACAAAACAACATTAAATAATGACATGATATTATAGTGATAACACATATTGTGTAGAAAAGAGATCTCCTGTATGGGTTGATTGCGCGTTGATCTGTTGGTAAATGCTCATCTATCATTTTCAACCAAGCAGCATGAGGTCAAATTTAATAAGTAATAGTTTGTCACGATTTTACGGGAAAAGTCAGAGCGCAATGTCACATCTTAAAGACAGCTTGAACTGGATAGATGGTTAGTCTTTTTTCAAACATACCATATGTTCTGCATGTTAGTATATTTGGCCAAATCGGGTTAGGCCCCACTGCCCCACTCCCTCAATAGGGAAGTCACGCTTTGGGAAGAGGTGTTTAATTTCACAGATCTGACTTGATTGTTGTGTTGTGATGGCTGAAGTAAGAGGGACGGGGGAGGAAAATTCAGGGTGAAGAAGCAGAAAGATAACTTGTTTGTAAAACGGACAGCACGTCAGTTTCAGGAAAGACGACACCGGTTTTATGCATGACATGCCCAATATCCTGAAGCCCTACAAAAAAAAAGTATATTGTGTTGAAAATATCGCAAAAAGCCATAATATTGTATAATGTAATAGTTGCATGTTGTATTTTGATACAAATCACTGTATATTCAAAAATATAATGGAGAGAAAAAAAATATATATATATCACAGTATGTTGAAAAATATGAAAAAGTAATGTTGTGTTAAAATAATATGAAAGAAATCAAAAGTAAAGCATCTAAAAACATATATTTAAAAAAGTAATGTTAGTCAAGTCAAGTTATCAAAACTGCATTGTTTCATCGAAACAGTGTTAAAATCACAAACTCTCCATTTAGAGTTTGATTCTTGAAGAAAACTCAATTCATTACAAATGAATGAATATTTTACCAAGCTATATAGTTTTCCATACATAAACGTGTATCTTACAGTTCCTTTGTGAGAGAATTACGCACAAATTGCAGTATTTTATCTGTTTTATGTGCACTGTTGGAGGAGCCTGTGACCTACAGTTCCTTTGTGAGAGAATTACGCACAAATTGCAGTATTTTATCTGTTTTATGTGCACTGTTGGAGGAGCCTGTGACCTATGTTTTTCATTGACATATCTACACTGTAGCTAATGGGCATATGCCATAAAGCCTTGAAACTTGAAACTTAAAATGATCAGAAACTGCATTGTCTCACTGAAAACAGCTCTAAAGAAAACCCAATTCCATACAAAGTACTTAACTTTCTACCAGTTGTAGAGTGGTGCTTACTTCAAAAGTGTATCTAAAGTTGCATCACTTATGTGACATACAAGAATAGTGTGTGACAGACAAAAGATGTCCTGTATGGGTTGATTGCGCACTGGACATAAACGCTAGTAAAGTCTAATCTGACGGGGGAGACCCGCTGTTGCTGACGAGTCGAAGGAAGGGGGAAGGGGTGATAGGGGGAAGAGGTGAGAGGAGGACGGGGTGCGAGACAGTCTCACACAACTTCAAAGAGACTACCTTGACAATAGTTACAAACACTGATCAAAGGACATACATCAAAGGGCTAATTTGATTGACATCAAAGGCTTATAACACACCGGTGCACACACACACCTACATGTTATAACACCTCCCAATTTACATCAAAGGACAGACATCAAAGGGCTAATTTGATTAGACAACAAGGAGTCAGACATCAATGGCTAATTAGATTATACAACAAAGGATCTACTACAATGGGGAGTTAACACCTACATGTTACAAAACACCTCACCCCTCACATCAAAGGATAGACATCAAATGGTAATTAGATTAGACAACAAAGGGGGCAGACATCAAAGGCTAATTAGATTATACAACACAGGATCTACTACAACAGGGGATATCACACCTACATGTCACAAACACCTCACCCCTCACATCAAAGGATAGACAACAAAGGGATCAGACATCAAAGGCTAATTAGATTACACAACAAAGGATCTACTACAATGGGGGAATATCACACCTACATGTGATAACACCTCGAACAAAGGGGCTCATTAACATAATTAGGGGGCGGGACTTAGCATAAGTAGTAGTACTGATAGGGCAGGTGTGACCTGTCACTTTTTATGCATACTAATGTGATTGAAGGGGCATTTGTAATACTACTCACGGAGTATTCAAGCCAGGGTGGGTTTTGGTACCATGAGCTGGAAACACTACGTTTGTTTCCCGGAGAAGATCCGAGAGGGGAAACTATCCAGGACTTCCTGTTTTGGTTTATCCACGCCAAGGTCCTCTGGAAGTAGAAAACTAACATCTCCAAGATCACGCAGACTTTCATTCAGAGTTTCATAGCTAAATAAAACATGATATTACACTAATCTCTCAACATAGTTTCAATAAAGATAAATATTAGGACAAACCTCTACAAATAACAACACTAAACATAATAATACAACAATTCAATGTTTTTAATCAGCCCTGATTTCTCATGGGCCCAAATCCTGGATGGGGGGGGCATACGTTAATAACTTACATCCATAGAGTTGTACATGTCCTTATATTCATGTTTCATTTTGAAGAGTAAGAAGTAAGAACTGCAGACATACATGTTGACTGTTTCTTAAAGGAACTGTAATAGATGTTAGCTGTAAAAAGTAAATCTATGTATTTAATATTTAGTAAACGATAACGTCTGAATAAAGGTCATCTGAAGTCATTTTAGTTTTACATTGTGGTGGGAATTTATTCATCAAATGTGGAGAGAGAATCAAAGCATTCAGCTCTTTGTGGTATCTTATTTCTGTAAGAAAGTTCAGTCAGTCACACAGAGAGCATACAGTCTGCAGAGAAGAAGAGGAAGAGTAGAGTTTGGGTTGCATATTTAAACACAGAGAGAGGAGAAAGGGAGGGGGGAAGCTTGGTGATGATGAAGGAGCATTCTGGGAGTTAGGGAGTTAGGGAGGCCGTATCAGGAAGTCCTCAGTTCACCTGAGGTGAAGGTCATACTGTTGGTGCACATAGAGAGTCACTAACAACACTGCAACACATCTTCTTCATAAGGACTTTCCCCAAGCTTAGCAGAAGAGTGAGAAGTAGCAAATATAGAGAAACATTAGCAAATAAGAATCACACAATGATATTATTAAAGTAAGTAAGTCAGTATAATATGTTGCTATTACATACATGATAAAGTTCACTTTCTGAAGTAGACAGATGTTTCTGTTCAGATTCATTTAAATGTTGAGTAACATCTGATTGGATTATAAACAGATGTTATCCTCATCATGTTTTGTTTATTCAGACTGAAGGACTGCAGTTTGTCAGAGATCAGCTGTTTTGCTCTGATCTCAGCTCTGAAGTCCAACATCCATCTGAGAGATCTGGACCTGAGTCACAACACTCTGCAGGATTCAGTGGAGCTGCTGAGTGATATTCTGGAGAGTCCAGACTGCAGACTGGAGACTCTCATGTCAGTTCACTGACTCTCTGTTACTGCTGGAGATCTCACATGTTCACTTTGTCATTGAACCTCATTTATATTCATTAATAACTTCCATCCATAAAGTTGTAAATGTCCTTATATTCATGTTTCATTTTTAAAAGTAAGAAGAAAGAATTGCAGACATAAATGTTGAGTGTTTCTTAAAGTAACTGTAATAGATGTTAGTTGTGAAAAGTAAATCTATGTATTTAATATTTAGTAAACGATAACGTCTGAATAAAGGTCATCTGAAGTCATTTTAGTTTTACATGATAAAGTTCACTTTCTGAAGTGGACAGATGTTTCTGTTCAGATTCATTTAAATGTTGAGTAACATCTGATTGGATTATAAACAGATCTTTATCCTCATCATGTTTTCTTTATTCAGTCTGAGGCGCTGCAGGTTGTCAGAGATCAGCTGGTCTGCTCTGATCTCAGCTCTGAAGTCCAACATCCATCTGAGAGATCTGGACCTGAGTGACAACGCTCTGCAGGATTCAGGAGTGGAGCTGCTGAGAGATCTTCTGGA